CTTGCCACGAGTTCCCAGAATTCTTTGCGGTTTTACCCTTGAATGACGTCACATTTTCAATCTCTATACTCATATAGTTGTGTCAATAAATGTGGTTTACTGAGCAAAACAGGTCAAATCTTTCATTTTCCACCCACTGTGATACTGATTTTAATGTCACACCTTTGAAAACGTGGGAGGTTGTTTGTGAAGCAGACTTGTTTCCAAAAATATAGATTGACACTGAAACTGATAACCTCTGCTTTGTTGTTAAAGGCCATAGTCGGGTCTTTACTCCGAGTTTTCATTTAGCTCATTGTAGTTTTTTGTGAATAACATTATTTATGTTTCCATTAACCCTTAAGGACCCACAGTGACACTGGTGTCACTTGGCAACACAGATAGCATCTGAGCTGTTAAATAATATGAACATATTTCATCTGCTTGAAATGATGAGAAATGATCACTTATGAGAGTTTTAGGATACAAATCCTCCTGAAAGGTTACGCTTTTAACACGTCTTCATTAAAAAAATGATGCTGTATGCACAACATGATAACAGCCAGTGTGCAGCTCACAAAATTAGCCCTGGATCCTCATCCAAGCACATCACAGTTCCTATGCCTGCTTTGCATAGCACACTCAAGTCTGATGACATATTCAGAAACTGAATTTGCAAGACAAAATTTGTGCAGTGGGTATCTACCCAAAGTTTGACAACAAGTGCACATCGCCAGAGGTTCAGTTCCTCTCCAGGTGCTCTGCTGACTAATGATTTGACTTCAGCCAGAGAAAGGTAAAAAATGAAATGCTTGGGGCATCTTTGGCTGAAAGTTCCTTTTTAAAAATGGCTTTTGAACAATACTTGGTATATGTTAACTGCAGGACTGAATGAGTCACACATCCTGACTCACATCACATCCCATCCAAACATGACTCGGCTCAGTTGGACTGCTTTGGTTTTGTTAATGAGCATTTTGCAGGTTCCAGGTGAGTACATGAATTCTGCTGAATCTTTACAGGACATTTTTTATCTTAGCTAAACGTTCAGCAAGTGCTAGTGTATCACAATTCATTTTTCTTTAAATGAATTATACTTTTGAAACAAGACGACCAAAATTTTGAATATCACAAGTTCAACTGTGGTAGCTATAATGTCAGTGTTAACTAAATCGATAAAAATATTTGTCAGTTTTTATTTCAGGTTCATCCAAACGTGGACATGGCTATTCAAGAAATAATTTCATGGATATCAGAAACTGTTTCAAGCAGAAAGAAAGTTTTGTTGTTGTCGATAGTTTCTATGGCAATATCAATGCAACAAACTACTGGAACCAGAGTAAGTCAAATACACATTTCAGTTACAACTGCTTCTCATTTTTCACAAGTTGCGATGAAATGAGATTCTCTGTTTTTGCAATCACCGTCCAACAAAGAGGAAATTAAACAAAAGCCAAAGATTTGACCTGTTGAAATTAATTGGACTGGGATTGAAATTTCTGGGAACTTTGATTGGAAATGCATTTCGGTTTTTTTAATATGAGACCTGGTTCGACAAGACTTTATGGAGATTAATTCATTTAAAGGAGCCTTTTGATGTGTTATAATCTAGTAACTTGTACAGGTTACTTAAGCATGTTGGGACAAACTCCAAGTTTAGATGAACATGAAGTGCAACACATTTACATGGATGTTTTGTCCTGTGTGAGATCCCTCATCCCTGTAAATGCACTTTATTTAGACCTTGTTAAAATGTCAATGCAATAAAATTCTGAAAGTGTTTTTTTTTTTCTAGATATTGATTTATAGTTGTTAAGGCATGTAAAAGATTTAAATGTATTAAAAACACACACTGTTCTTTGCCTTTACAGCAAAAGTGAATTGCATAGTATTTGTAGAGACAAACGGAACTGAATTGGGTGAGTCCAGCTTAGTTTCATATTGTTTTAGTTGCCAATATTTGACTTTCTAATCAGCATTTTAGCAAATAAAAATGTATCTGTGTGTTGTTTTTTAATACCAGAAAGTTGTACCAGAGAAAATCAGGACACTTGGCCAAAAATTAAAAACAATGGCAGCATTTTGAAACTTCACATTTCAAAATGGCATATAGATCAACATGTGCATATGTACGTTCTGTATGGAACATTCTGCAACGCCACACAATTTAACTTTACAGGTAAAACAACTCTTCGGTATTTTATATTTTTGAACTTCTTGTTTTTTCAGTATTGTTAGCAAATTAAAATTAAAAAATATATATATAAAAAATGATAAAATATGATAAATGATAAAATAAAAAAATATCTAATTAACCAAACATTTTTGTCATCTTGATCCAGGTAAAAACTGTGTCTTCAATACCACAGACACAGGTAAATTCATATCAATGAAAAGATAAAATGCAGAGCTAATAGGAAATATTTAAAAGTTGAAGCCTTGAAAATAAGGATTAGAATGCAATGTTAATTTTTTTTCTCCTGCCTTTCTTTCTCTGATTGTGGTGGTAAAATCTGACAAAATAATGCAGAAGGGTCTTGTCATATCAGATGTATCAATACAACCACAGTGTGTAAAAACTCTGCCTATGATAAAAAAGAATGCAGTACCATGGGTAAGTTTAGTCAAGTGCAGGCAAGTATCACACTTTCATAATAGCCATTTTTCCTGATGAGTGCACAATGAATCGGACAAATCTTGCCTAACAGAGTCTTTGCATTACGCCATCATTTGATTAAATAAAATTCATATAAGTAAAATGCTGAGAGCAAAATAACACCTTTCTTTATATTTTGTTAAATGTGGAGTTCTTAAGTTTAAACCTAAATTCTCCACCTTACAGCTCCAAATCTCCAGAATGAATACATAATCAACATAAACTCAACAACCACCAACTGTATAAACTGTAACAATCCAGTGAAAAAGCCTGAGGAGACAAAAGTACTTAATACAACACTTTCTGAAAAAGGAGGAGAAATTATTGCTGCAAATGCCGCGTAAGACACACTCACTTACCAAATGATATACTGCATGTATTCATCATTTATTTTCTATTGAGTTATTTAAGAAGATCTATATCTAGAAGATCTAAATCTGAGTTTTCCACTCGGTTTTTCTCATTTTCCACTCACTATAGAGTTTTGCTTTCACTTGCTACTTAGATTTAGACACTACTACCTACTGGGCTCAAGATCAGTAAACCTTACTATTGAAATGAAGAGTTGAAAGTGATCTCCATATCCCACTAATACAATTAAACTGTGCATCACACATTGCTGCCAAAAAACAACTTACGTGTAAGACATTCTAGCAGCTTTGAAAAACTCCTATATTATTTTCCCCAGAAAGAAAATGCTGAAAAGTTTAGTTTGGTTTTTGACATTTAAAAACCCCCCACTGTAAAACATGTTTTTTTAAAAACTGATTTTACGTACAGCATCTTACATTTACAGTATAATATAGAAATGTTCTCACATCTGTCTACAGTAAACTAATGAATGACATGAGAAACTTGGCGGACAAAATAAATGGATCTTCAGCTGAAATATCTGTAGGAGAAGGAGTCAAAGGAGTTTTGGTGAAAGAAACACATAAAGACGAAGTAGCAGAAGTATTATTTGCTTATCAGTCTCCAAATGACAGCATAAATGTAGGTGGAATTAAATTTATTTTAACTTTTACACGTTCTATTGTTCTGTCCTAGCATTTCCTCCACTAAAATCCCAGCAGTAGCGGGTTCCCAAAATGTCATTGCTTTGATTTAAGATTTACCTAGAAATCATGACACCTAAAAAATGGAAGGGGCCTTTGCCCATAATTGCATGTAATCCTACGACTTCCTTTTTATTATTGATTTTTTTTTGTACAATTGAAACAGTTACAGCAACTAAAAACAACAGTTAAGATTATTATGTAGTTATTACAGTATGTTCAAGTTACCGCTTACTTGGGCATCACATTGCAGATTTTTGTGGTATTTTGAGTAAGATCCAGGTAAATATGCACTGAGTCTGACTCTTTCTGTGTTCTTTCCTGCAGATTATAGACAACACAGAAACTTTGAAAACATTTTCAAGAGCCGTTACGCTGCCAAAAGAAGCTTTTAATAAAGCTATTGCTCAAAACATCAGTATCCCATTTGCAGCTCTTTTCCGATTTATTAATATGGCTAAGGTAAGGGGCTACAGGCTAATTCAAATGTAAAATTTCCTGTTCAGTGATGGATTGACCATAAGTTGATTTTTCAGGATGAGAAGAACAGTACTGTTTTAGGGAATGAAGTTTTAGCCATTGAAATGGGAGCTGCTATCGCCAACCTCACAGACAAAATAAACATTGTTTTTACGAATATGACATATGTAAGTGAAAAGTTTGGGTCTTTTGGGTCTTTTTCTCTATTTTGTTTTCCATTTTAAGAGCATAAATTAATTAATTTTCATTTGATTTGTTTGCAGAGAGGGATACCGTCTTGTCATTCATGGAATGGTCAAGGTAGCTTCTCTGCTTCATTTGCACGTTGACATAAGGCATTTACAGTTTTGTGTGTTACATATTATTTATGTATTGCTGAGAAAAGCTGAGCAAAAAGTTTCTTCTCTACATTATTTAAGAGAGAAGTGTTACAGTCTTATGTGATCAGCTCAATGATGACGCCAGTGAATTCTGAGCCCACTCTCTGTAAAAGTCCAAAATATATACAGAAAAACACTGTATTTGTTTGTATTGGTAGACACATATTTTCAGGACAGTCAACAAAATTTTCTAACTCTTGTATTTCAGTAGGAAGCATACACTCATCAGCCATGTCATTAGTTACGCTTTGTCTTAATAATACTGGCTTTGAGCAGTCTTATTTCTTCATGGCATAGATTCCACGAGTCGCTCGACACATTCTTCTGAGATTTTGGTTCGCACTGGCGTCACACAATTGCTACAGATTTTATGGCTGTTCATCCATGATGTGAATCTCACATCTCACCACATCCCAAAGGTGCCCTATAGGACTGGGATTTGGTGACTATGGAGTCCATTTGAGTAAAGTGAATTTATTGTCAGAGCCGATCTTCTGCATATATACTCTGACCGGCCTACGTGACACTAACAACAATGCCACATCCAAAGTCACTTAAATGACCTTTCTTCCACATTCTCATGCTCGGTTTCAGGTCATCTCTCTATGCTTAAATGCACTAGATACCTGCCATGGGACTAGATATTTGCATAAACAAGAATAAAAGGGCATGATTTTTTTTTCTATCCCAAACCGAGTGGTTTTTATATCCTAAAGCTAATCAAGTTAGCATTTAATGCTAATTAACAATGTATTATTAATTAATCGTATGGAAAAATATGAAACAACTCCAACCTTCAGTTTTTAAAAGTGGAAAATATTAATTGAATGACAATGAACAAAAATCAATACCAGATGAGACCGAACTAATAAAAAACATGTTCAGGGACATCAAAATAAGGTTGGGAAAGAAGAAGAAGAACACTTTAAGTACAGAAACACAACTTATTAGACTGGAGGTTGTGTCTTCTTTTTTCCAAACGGCTCTGTTAGATGGTTATAAAAACACAAAACAAACCACATTGCCATGACTTGTTATTTGACTAAATAAACTCAACATTTCTTTGGTTTTACTGGAATCAGTATCGGACCAGTTTAACCTGCATTCACAATAATACATGCTGTGGTGAACTTTAAAAAAAAAAAAAAGCTCATGCAAATGTTTTAACATGGAAAACACTGCGAGAGATAATGAAAACAGAAACCCAGTTTCTGGTGAGTGCCACATCATAGCATGAATAAATAACAAAATAAAAATCAACAACGGGGTCATGGTTTCCACTGCAAAGGCCACGTATCTGATGGCCAATTTAAAGATTCAGCTGTATCATGGTATCAAGAAAAAAATCTGAAAATAGACATAAACTGATCACATTACTTTTATGGTTTTGAAAGTGTGTTTCCTCGAAGATGCATGCTAAAAGTTTTTGCTGTGAGTTTTTTGGTGCTTTCAATGTGTGGAATTATTTATCAGGAAACAGAAGTTGAAGTTTTATTTTAAACCAGTCTTGAAACCATTTCTCATCAGGAGTACAAACGACACAAGCAGCTAAATTCTGACACTTGAGAAAACTGAACTTATGTATGGTTAGGCCGTCATTGTGTTCTTTGTTTTATTTCTCTTAGGAAGTCAACCAAACTGGACGAGTGATGGCTGTGTGACAAAAATAACTAAACATGGCATTACGTGTCAGTGTTCACATTTGACATTCTTTGCTATCTTGATGGTATGTTTTTCTTCTTCTGTAATGATGTACAACCCCACTTCCAAAAAATGGGATGCTGTGTAAACCATAAATAAAACCAGAATGACGTGATTTATAAATCATTAGTAAACCCACATTTTATTAACAATGTATCACAGAAAACATATGAAATCTTTAAACTGTTTTGAAATACGAGCTCATTTTGAATTTGACTCTTTAGGCGATAATCAAATTGGTCACAATTTTATGTTGAGGAATATTATTCAGAAATTTTCCACAGTTTGTTGACTTAATTTGTTGCCCATTTATCTAATTAGTTACTGTTACTGGGGCTGTACTTTCTGTTCCACTTCAACCACACTCTTCACTGTAAACATCAGGCACTGTTTTCATATGAGATGTGCTTTGCTGTGCTTTTTGCAGACTCCTCTTAATGAAACCATTTCAGCTTCTGATTTTCAAAACCTCACAATCATCACCCAAGTTGGCTGTGGACTCTCCATGTTCTTCCTCGCCATAGTCCTCTTCATGCACTTCCTTTCAAGGTAGTAAGTTGGGCTTTTTTTCCCAATATTGAAGCATTTTAACTATATAGTCAGAAAAGAAAAAGTGTGCATTAAAAATACAGATGACAACAGAAGAACAGAATAAGCTTTACAGAGAAAATCTGTTGAAAATAAGCTGATATAATAAGTACTGCGCTGTATAGGTCTCTAATACTTATCCCAGGAATAAGATATAAAATCACTATAAAAATCTCTGTAAAGAGAGAGACTCAGTAAAGAGAAACTGTAAAATTCATCATCAGAGGTCAAAATCCTTAATCGTGAATAGAAATACTGTTTAGGTTTTAAAAAATTTGGACCTAAATATGTAATGTTTATTGCGCAAAGGGGTATAAGAGCAAAGTCTTGCTGTTTAAGGGTAAGCAACTAAGTCTTTACCAGATTAATTCACAGCTCTCACTATAACTAGGTGATATATTCCTGAAAAAAAAAAAACATGATTGGGATCTTTATGAATAAAATAGAGCAAAATTGTTATTGATGCAATAGCCTCAAACACTGTACAGAATTTTTTTAAAAAAAAATCTTGTTTAGAAAGACATGCTTTTCTGGCAGCTGGTGTGATGAAGCTTCATGTAAATAAGGCTGCTTTCCAGGACAGTGGAACATTGTGATGAGGTGTCATAATGTTTACCACAGGGAAATGAGATTCATCAACAGGGGCCTGATGTTATGTAATGGAAATATCAGCAGTATGTATCAGTCTGCATCTTATGCAAATATAATACTTTCCTTACCTGCCATGTTTCCTGGGGTTTTTCTAAGTCCTCAGCGCACAACCCTCTATGAATGAGCGTTGTTTAAAGAAAAGCAGGCGCATGTTACCTGCATCTCTGTAGATGTATGACACACATTGGCTAGCCTACACGGGCACCACCTGCGTTTTTTGCCATTAGCCCTGTGTGGGTACACGTGGAGCCCATGTGGGAGAAGTGCGGGTTTGCCAAGCCCAGACATCCTCACAGTTTATTCACAGCTACAAACTGTGACCCCCACATGGTCATCTTTACTGAGCATTCAGGTACACTGAATTTGAATATGAGCATGCTGCTATCTCTATCGACAGTCAAATCATCAGTAAACACTAGTAATACAGTTCCATAGCATCCCCTCCACCATGACTAACATGTGACATTTTGCGTCATTCTGATACACACATTGGTTTCGTGTGGCCGAAGATTTTTTTTTTTCCCCAGTAAATTCCAGATATAACACTGTTTAGCTGGTGCAACACACATGCATACACAGAGTTCTCAGTTGCACTTTTAGGTGACGTTTATTTACACACTGTCTAGAGCTGATCGCTCAGTTCTGCTCTGGAGCTCTCTCCTGCTCAGCCCAGCTCTGCTCTCCTTCTCAGTCCATGCTGCTTCTCCCCAGGCCCCAGCAGCTACTGCAAGATGTTGAACAGCTGATAAAAATCAGTTGTGTTGGCCAATCTCCCCTGGCACTGTCCCCTGAACCCTGCTCGTGCAGCTAACCACCACCAGGTTCTTGGGGATCTTTCTGGAAAAGCTGACCAGGCCTTCTTGTTCTTGAATGTAACCAATGGTTTGCATCTTGTTGTGCTGTGTAGATTCTTGTCTCCATTTCCATTCATGAAGATGTCTCTGGATTGTAGATCTTGACAGTGATCCACGCACCGTCTCAAGAGTGGTCTTTACTTGGTTAGATTTTGTGAAGTGTTCCTCTGCGGTCTTTTGATGTTCCTGAGCTGGGCAGAGTATTGCATCTATTTAAGAAAGCACCAGACTTTAGATTTGCAAACTCCTAACATTTTTTGCTATCTCCCACATAGGTCTATTGTGTTTTTTCAGCTAAAAAATGGCACGTCTCTCTTATGCTAACATCTCTTTGGCCCTCCTATACAAAATGTTAACATTTAAAAGCTATAAAGTTCAAGGGTTTGAATCAACTTCAGGTATTATGTGTGCTTTACTTGTCATGAAATAACAAGGGAACGGGTCTTATTGGGCAGTGAAACTGATTGTCAGTCAATTTTCAATCTAAATTTTGAGCTTCTGAAAACTGGGGACTTTGTATTAAAATGGCTTAAAAAGGGAAGTTCAACTGTAACTTGAAATTATCGTCTATACTTTTTGTTTGAGGCTATACCACTTTTATCATGATTTCTCTTTAAAACAGTTATTTGTATGTAACATCTCTCCTACTTTTACCGTCTATAACCATGTTTATTTTACTGTATTTGCAATATGGAAATTTGACCTTTTGTGGTTGCTGATATTCAAAACCAAGTTTCTCTCAGAAGCAACTTGCCCTTCACATTTCTTTGACTGAATTTAACAGTTTGTAAAAGACTAAGCAGGCTTTAGTCTTTCACAAACTGTTAAATTTAGCAAATCTCCACATGTGAAAATATTGAATTTGTCAGTTTTTTCCCAATTTATATTAATTAAAAATGAAATAATTACCAAAATCCACAAATACCTTGATTGCTAATTATTTAGATCCACAGGGCATTATTATTTCACGCTTTGTTTCCTCTTTGTTAATCATCTCCCCATACAGGCGAATCAAGGCCACTAATGCCACAAAGATCCTCATCAACCTGGTGTGTGCCTTGTTCCTGCTTAACCTCACTTTCCTGGTCAATAACTATGTGGCGAACCTGAACAACAGTGTGGGCTGTAAGATCATGGCGGCCCTAATGCACTATTTTATGCTGGCCACTTTCACCTGGTTTGCTGCGCAGGCCTTCCACCTGTGTCTGAGCCTGTATACAGGAGGGAAAATCGCAATCCATCGCTACATACTGAAAATCGTCATTACCAGCTGGAGTAAGTTTATGTTATAATTAAAAATTGAACATCTATAGACTTCTTGAAAGCTTCACTCTTTCCTTCTTGTTGTTTCACCTGATTTTTTTCCCCCATTTATTTTTCCAGTACTGCCTTCAGTTATTGGGATTGTCCTGCTCTGCATTGGGAAATATGGTGAACAAGTCATCAGCTACCAAAACACTGGAAACGCTGCAGATAGAGTGATGATGTGAGCCTGCTATACTATTACGTACCATTACTATTCCATTACATTTCATATTAAATTTCAGAAAAGCTGACTTGTCTTTTCCTTCTAAGGTGTTGGATAACAGACAACAGTGTCCACTTAATCATCAACATAGGCTACTATGCTTTGGTCTTCCTCTTCACTTTTACCACCTTCATCATCATGATGTCCTGGCTCTGTTGTCTCAGGAATGTCAAAGGAGCCAAAGCAAAAGGGGAGCAAAGTAGCATAAACATCTTAAGCATCATGGGCCTGTGTTTCATGCTGGGCATTACATGGGGCTTTGCTTTCTTTGCCTATGGTGTCTTCCAGGTCCCCGCGCTCTACCTTTTCACCATCCTCAATTCTTTCCAAGGTACTGACAACCAGCAAGCACCTTTCAATCATTCTAAGTCAACCATGTTGCATAATACCACTCACAGGATAACGCTTGATGTTTTTATTGATTAAATTCAGTTTTTAATATTAAAAACTGTGCATATTTATTTGAAAGAACAAAAATATTTCATGTTCTTCATGCAAAGTACCTTTTCTCTATACACTACTGACCATGTCTTTCTGCTTGCCAGGTTTTTTCCTGTTCGTCTACTACTACAAAACCTCCCGCATGTTACCTCCAGCCTCTGATGAGAAGTCAAGCAGCGTCAGTAACATCACTGATAAAACCAGTCTAAGCAGCTTTACAAACCCCTACTCGAACTGGCTGAGCTGAAGAAACAGACACACTGAGACTGAAGACCCGTACCGTTAAGTGTAAACTGCTGTATAACACTCTAATAGTTAATAACACACAGAGTCCCAGTTAGGTTTGTTGATATTGTAAATACATGTTAGAAAATGGCTTTACTGTTAAAGGTCTTAATTTGTCTTGGAAGCAATGAACTTTGATAGTTTGACAAAAATCAACAGAATATAATAAACTTTTGTCCTTCTTTTAGCCATTTTAAACTGTTAATAGTTTTATATCTTTAGTCAAGTACTAAAGACTATAATAGCCATGACTACTAACTGGCCATATCTCCTGGCAAAGGATGTACCTAAGGTTGCACTTGGTAGCAGGTGAGTGCCTTGAACTGCTGCTCTGCTGCTTCTGATGTGTGAACAGGTGAATAAGAGACACACTGTGAGGCACTTTGTACAACCAAAAGTGAAAAAAAGCATCTATACAAGTGCCAGTCCCTCTTAAAAAACAAAACAAAAATACAAATAGGGTGACATTAAATTTTGTACACCGACATAAGAAGGAATATGGAAAGTGTGGAAATAGGAGTTCTTTATTCAGTTTCACTCACACTGCCATCGAAATACATATCTGCAAATATATATACACAACATTTACTCTTTAAATGGACACAATTTAAATTAAGAAATCAATGAAAACATTCAGAGTAGAAGAGTTTCCGCTTCTTTGAGAGCTCTTTCCAGTTCGGCTGCTTCAGAGGAAAAGTTCTCCCTTTCTTGAACCATTTGTTCTCGTGCCTCCCCTAGGCCTCTCATCGTTTCCTGGATTTCCTAAAAGGTTGTAAAAATAAGTAAAAATAATAAATAAAACTCAACTTTTAGTGACCTGTTACTTTCACTGAGCAGAGTTTTACTCACCTCTAGTCGAGCACGTTGCTGTGATGCAATATCACCAAAGGCCTTTATTTCATTGAGCAGGTCTGCGGAGATGCTCTGAAATACAAGGAGTAAATATTTTAACCCGGTGTTTCTGTAAATGATTATATAAATCCTGTGGGTGTCTACAATACATGTATATTGGGTGCATTTATAATATTTGTTCTTTATTTGCACATTTATTTTTGCATGAAACAAACTAATAAGTGCATGCTTCTGGTTTTCCTTTATATTCCAGCTTGCGGTTATTTGCGTGAATATGAATTAAAGTTTGCTTAAATGTGTAACGAATAAATCCCAAGTGTAAACGTATCATAATGTAAAGTGAAATCAAATAAACATACCATAACCTCTTTCTTCTGACTTTCATTCTGCCGTGCAGCGTCTCCAACTCTTTCGCCTAATACTAAGAATGAAAGATGTATTTCTGTTAAGTCTCTTACAGAAACCACTGAAGAAACTGAAACTGATAAATATATTTTTGTATTTTTTCTACCTGGGTCTATTTTGGCAGTAACCAGAAAAGCATGGCAGTCTTTTAGGTTTTTCTGAACCTCTGCATTCTCTTTTTGAAGGTCACAGTACTGCAGCTCCAGCTTAGCTACTCTTTGCTGTAATAGGAAAATGAATTCAGAATTAAATAGAATATGGTAAAGAGATAACACAGAAGGGCTGTTCAGCTGTGGCTAATACCAAACATGGCATTTATTCTGTTAGGGTTTTTGGCGTCTTTTGTGTCAGATCTATTCATGAAGTAGCCCTTTTGCATTTTCTCCTATAAACTTGTACCAGATAATGTTAAAGAGGACAGATGCATAAAGAAAAGAATAGGAATTAAGAGAGCAAGTAGCAGCCAGGTGATGCTCATAAATGCACTTAACTGAGCACCAGTTTTAGTGCTCAGTTAAGTGCCAAAAACAAAACCTAATCAAAACAAGGGCTACACCTCAGATTCTGTAGGCCTGAAATAATCATATTTTAAATGATAAAGCTCACGACAGCACAATTTTGAAGAAAAAAAAGAAAAGAAGAAGCATAAACTGGTTCATACAACAGGACAACAATCCAAAGAATAGCAGTATCTACAGCATCTACAACAGAATGGCTAAAAAAGAAAAGATTGTTCAAAGCAGTCAAAAGTTCAACTTCAACCTGATTTGAATGTTATGGTGGAACCTTAAGAGAGCTGTGCATAAACCAAAAGCCCACAAACATCAGTAGGCAGTCATGTGTGGTAGCGATTACTTTCTATACCTGTGTGTCTGTGAGGTTTTTTGCCAGCTCCTCATTGGCAGCAGTCAAACATTGATTTTGCTCTTTGAGCTCTGCTTGTTGTCCATATCTAGTGAAGACTCTATGAAAATGTGCAACAAAGTTGTTAGGAAAAAAACAAAAACCAACAGGCTTAAACAATACCCATGTTAATGATTATGAAAGACTCACGCCTTCTGAACTTTATGAGCAACATTTTTCCTAAAAGACAAAAAAGTGAAACAAAATTAGAATTCAGCAGATTAAAGTCTGGCTGTACTAAGAGAATATACACATTTAGGCTTACTGGCAAACGTTTGATAGTCTTTACACTACATGATCCTGAATAGGTAAGCCAGGAAATTATCAGGCACAGTTTTGTTACCACAGTTGACTCCTATCATCACTAGGGAAAACTTGAGACGCATGCACTTGGTAACCTTTATTGTTCTCATACAAATGTGACCATTCACACGGGTCATAATTTGTTACCTTGGTGCATTTTCTTTATGTGGTTTAAGGACACCATCTGGTCTCTGGGCAGCAGTGGTTGTTGCGGGTGCAGTTGCTGTGTCTTTGGATTCTTGTTTATGATTGTTTTTCTTTGTTTCTGTAGGTGGGTGTACACCTTGAAGAATGAACGTTGTTAACAAAATTAAAGTAATCAATTGAAATAACTAGAAAAGTTCAAATTCACCTCACCTCTTGGAATTTTTGAAGACATGACTGTTCCTAAAAAGTATAATGTCAGCAATAATAAAAGCCACCTGCATGGGAAAAACAACACAAGACAGTAAGACCGTATTTGTATCCTGGGTGTTTTCATTTCTTTTTTTCACTAAGATGTGTTATAACAGTAAAATAAAATTAACTGCTGTATTGTTGTTGGGTTTGGTTTGTTTTGCATTCAGGCTACTCTAAAATCTTGCAACTGAGGTATGTGACAATAAACTTTCAATGGATGTAGACCAGGAGTGGGGAACTCCAGATCTCAAGGACCAGTGCCCTGCAGGTTTTTGATATCACCCTGGGTCAACATACCTGAATCAAATGATTACTTCATTACCAGGCCTCTGGAAAACTTCAAGTCATATTGAGGAGGTAATTTAGCTATTTGAATCAGATGTATTGGATCAAGGACACATTCAAAACCTGCAGGACACCGGTCCTTGAGGCCTGGAGTTTCCCAATCCCTGATGGAGACAGCAAAGACTACATAAAACTCTAAACTATCTGGATATCAGTCATGTTAAACTACTTAAATCAGAAGTCTGACAAACTGACCAGAGAATTCAAAAATCGATGCGTTTTATTTAAGTTTATTTATTTCTTCACCGCAGCCTCACTGAGATCCCTCTAGGGGAGCTTGACACATAAAACTCTGTTAAAACGACCGACCTCTATAGAAAAATAGCTTTCGGTCGTAATTTCTTCAATACTCAACAAATCAAAAAACAGTACTTAAATAATAGTCGCTTACTGAATGTGATCTAGGTAATTAGCACAATATCAATGCTTACCTTTAAGGACACTAAGTATGCAAGCTGAATTCTCAACAGACAAATACCAGTTGACAATTTTAAAAAACGTCCCGCCCTCTGCGACCATTTCCGGTTGTAACGTTATTTCCTGTGTAAATAAAATAAATTTTCAATAATTCTGTTCCTCAAAAGATTTTTTTTAAATTAAACTGAGTTATCAGTTTTAACATTTTAATTGACAGGCTGTTGTTAACTACACTCCAGTTATCTAAATAAAAATTAAGCTACAGACGGACCTTAGTGCGCACGCGTGAAGGCGGCTAAATTCAAAACTCAAGACGTTAGCGTCGAGACTTGTTCGCATTAGCTTCAAAATTGTTACGTATCGTATGTAATGTGGTTGAAGATAAACGACTTGAAAATGGTTTCAAGTTAGTTAAGAAGTAATAATAAAAAACGTATTTGTCTTAGAACGCCGCAACATCACAATCAACAATAGCAAGGTAAGCGCCGTAATGCTTCTTTGGTGTTCAGTTGTTTTCTTGTTTGATTACGTGAATGGGAAGCTAATAGTAACGTCAGAGTTAGTGGTTATCGGTTTGTCTATTTAAAATATGATTTTTACAAGGGAAAATACAGAACGCTGCCTAGCTTTGTTTATTATTTCAAATAAGTTACGTTAACAGTATTTATCGAGCTGCATTTGTTCATAAGGTCTTGGTAAATTGAATGACAGGTCTATTCTGTGGTGGTGGTTTCCCATTTCATGGCTGCTGGAGAACAGTGGCGTTACTTTTGCACACCTGACAGGTGTGGCGTAGTAACCTTAAGTTTTCTTCAGTCTCATTTTTTTAAATCAAGGTTGTAACTTACGGTCATGTGAAAAAGAAAGTTTGCACAGGACTGTGTGCAACTACACACCGAGATTCAGGAGCTTGCAGAACCACCTTAGCAGCAATAACTGTTTGTTGGCATTTGTTCATGTACAGCTCATAAGGTCTTACCCCAGCATTTCATTCTGCTTAATAAAGTCTTTTAAACTTTGTTAAACAGTGGTGAATTTATTGTAATTATTGTCAAATAAACCCATTGCCACTACTTTAGAAACAATTGTTTTTGCGTCCAAAGATAATGCTTCATTTTTACACTTATCAGATCTGCAAATCTCAAATACCTAGGACAAATTAAAAATGCTTCTTAAGCAACATTTTGGGTTTCAGGAAGACACCGTTGAAACAATGATTTCTATATAAAGCATTATTTTATATTCGTACAGTTGACGATGGAGCCTCTGGATCCTCCCAAAAATAAGTGAGTGCAAAATTACTGTATTAAATAAAAAGGACATTGATATCGGAACATTCCTACTTTACACCTTATGTTAACAAATGTATTGTGATATTTATGTGATAGTTTTATTGTTCATGCTTTGTGTTACAGTGAAGGCAGTGGATTTTCAAAACGCCGCCTTTCCTCGGTCAGTATCTTAATCAGAGGTGTGATTTTATTTATTTCTGTACAAATGAACTAAACTGTTTGCACCTTGTAATTTTCAGATTTTAAAAGCGCCACGGAAATCAGCCAGGTTCCCTGACCAAGATCAGCAAGAAAATGTGGTAAACAGAGAGTCTGATATAAGATTTCCAACTGCTTGTGGCACTAGACACCCTTAAGGTTTAAAAATTAAAAAATGGTGATATAATTTAGCCTTTTTCCTCTTAGGTGGAACGTGTCAAACCAGTGGAAAAGAGGAATTCAAGACGAGTCAGTTTTGCCCCTGCTAATGACGTCCTTCTGTTTTCTAAGTGAGACACGAAGAAATGCTCCTTTTACAAAAAGTACCTAACAACAAGTTGACCTAATCAGCACTTCTCTCTTTATAGGGATGTCAAAAATGCCTCCCCTGTCCGAAGCCCTTTGCAAGAAATAATAACAGCAAGTATGTAATGTAGTATTATGTATAAGAATGTAATTTTTAAAACTTTTTGTAATTGTTATAATTATATTGTATGTTATTCTACAGCAGGAGCAACAACCACACAAAATAGGTAAGGTGAAATGAGCTATTAAGGTCCAGCCTGTCATCTGAATTTCAAGTCTTATCACAAAGAGTCAAATAAATCTCTCACATAAATGCTTTGGATTTTTTTGGACAAGGGTGGAAGTGGGAGTCACTGAAGATGGGAGTGAAATCATTGGTAGGATCATTGTTTTCAATGTACTGTCCACATTATCTGTTAGATAGTTATAGAGATTGCTGTTACTAAATTCAGGTCTCCAAATGTAGGTATGGAAACTCTTTTGAATGCTCCTCTACATGTTTCCCAACAAAAGGATAAGGTAAATTTGAAGTCTATCTTTGCATTTATTACATTATTATAATGCTTAATAATAGAAGTATTTTAACTTAACATTTGTTGTTCCCATTAACTGACCAAAGGTTATTTACCTTTATTAGGCCACCGGAGATGACTTTGGGGAAAAAACAGTGATGTTTTCCACAGAAGATGCAGCCATGGACATGACCCAAAGCCACACTATAAATATTGCTGCAGACATACCTGAAGATATACCCCTTGACAACTATGACATTTTCCCAGTTCTTGGAGAAAATCGCTTGATAGATGATAAAGCCACAGTCCCACCACTATCCACAGGCAGAAATGTCGACGTAAGCACATCATTGTCATGTTTGGATCCTGGATTTGAAAACTTCCTTGCAAGTCTGTCTAAACCAAGCGGCCAGAGCACTAATGCTGTAAACATAACGATGACTCTTCCTGCTGAAGCATCCTCTGAAGAAACAAAAGGCTCCCTGGTCCAGATTAAAACACAAAGGCCTAATTTGGATAAAGAAAATCAAGTTCCAGTGTCTGTTTCTGCTGTGATGGAAAAGACACCACATAACACCAGGAAAACTGGAGAACCATCCTACAGGAGTGCACTCTGTCCAGAAGATGATGTGAGCATGGATATGACTGAAGCCCAGACAGATCGCATCCTGGGAGTCTGTGATGATGACGATAATCCTTTCCAGTGTCTTTTTCCTACTCAAGACATGTACACCCACTCAGAGATGAAACGGCAGCAGAGCAGTAAAGCATCAGGATTAACCAACCCAAAAGGTATCACATTTATTTCTGTCACTCAAATTAAAGGACAACTCTCCAGCATTTATACATCAGCTTATAAGTGATAAGAAGAAAATATGGGATGCCAAGCAGAGACCAAAAATCTGTGTTCTGCCACGGTTCCTTTAGTGTAGACCATTTTTCATAAATATCTTGCAGTCTAGGCTCACAACTTTATGAAAGTCTAATACTAGAGCAAGGAAATTATGCCTGTATGCATTGTATGAATTTTATGCTTCATCAGTTTTAATGCTAATTGAATAGAATTTCAAATGGCCTTAATTTCATTTCACTTTTAATTATCAGATAAAGTGTCCTTGATAAATCCTCTCGTACCTGCTCCTCATCAAAGACATAAGGTAAGTTTGGCATTTATTATTTTTTTAAACTTTGCTAAACCTCCCATGCAAGTCATGCATGGGAGGTTTTGTCTTTAGTTGCTCGTAACAAAGTATAGATTTAAAATGTTGTCTTTGAATGCTAATAATTGTTATTTCAAAGTAAAGTTTTGGTTGGCATGTAGTAATTGTTTGTGTTCTGTTCTTCAGGTGAGCTCTGTTGCAAAAAACGAATGCAGAGAGAAGACAGTAGTGTTTGCTGCAGATGACGAGTTTATGGACATGACTGGGTGTCACACAGTAAATATCGCCTGTGGTCCCTTGGTTCCAGAGGACAAATCAGCAGATATTGATAAAGAGAACTTGCCACTAAATACCACTCAAAATGTTAGAGAGCCTTTTAAAGGTGTTATCATCTGTCCTGAACTAATCATGGATATGACAGAAGCTCAAACTGGCCACATTTTGGAAGGTGTGCAGGACGATCCTTTTCAGTTTCTTTTTCCACCACAAGACATGTACACCCACTGTCTCAAGAAAGCAGATAGTACTTCAGGACAGCGGATAAGTGAAGCACTCAAATCATCTAACCATAAAGGTAAGGTGCTGTTCGAACCCTGATGTTTCTGAGAGGGGGAAAAGGGTAATCTAAAGTGAGGAGGAGCTTAAACACAATTTCAGACAGTAGATGAATTTAATTGCTGAATCAAGACCTATTGTAAGGGAGGGAGAAAAAGCAAAAATGAACTGTAATCCATACAAAGTTACTCTACCAGAGCTTAAGAATAAAAAAAAAAAAAGGAAATGAGAGAAACTTTAAATCTTCGTTTGAGGTCATGTGAATGCTTTTGTTTTAAATTTCCTGAAATTTATTTTCCAAAACAGATTCTCATTTATTTATTTATTTATTTTCAACCAATTAATTAATGAATTCACTAGTTTTGCAGTGTTCTGGTTTCTTTAGCTAGTCTATTTATTTATTACCCATTTCCACATTTAGGCATTGAAGCTTCATCTTCAAAGGCACTAAAAAATCAGGTGAGATTAAATGTTTTTCCCTTTTTATTTTTCAATTACTGCATAACACAATACTTGTTCTAGCTGGTCTGGAAGATAGAACATATTGCCAAATCAAGGTTGATATTTTGCTGTATACTCAAAGTATTTCCTTTCCCATCCACAGAATAAACCTGACATTGAGAACAACTACAGCGAGAAAACAGTGAGATTTTCTGCAGATGATGCCTGTATGGATGTGACACGAAGTCACACTGTAAATATCCACCAGTTGCAAGTACAGTCTGACCAAAATTTTGACTTTTTACCTGCTAAAGAGAAAACTTTAAGATTCACTCCAGATGACGGTATTATGGATAAGAATTATGGCCTCACTACAAACACTGCCAGTAATTCAGCGTCCAATTCAGTAAATTCTGAGAAGAAACAAGACCGTCAAATATGTGATCTGCCTAGGAACACATCTTTGTCAGCACATAGTTTGGATACAGCTTCCTCCAACATTAATCCTATGATTACTAAAATGACCTCTAATGGAAATGCAGTCTGTCCCGAAGCAGACATAAGCATGGACATGACTGAAGCTCAAACTGGCTACATTTTGGAAAGGGATGCAGGCACAGCTACAGATGCCCGTCTTCAGGATCTTTTTCCCACGCAAAGCATATGCGCCCAAAGTGGTAATGTCAGAAAAGCTGACTGGCAGAACAGTAAAGCAACTGGATTATCAAGCTGTAAAGGTATGAAAACGGCAAAGTTATTGGGCTTTTTTGTTTGTTTTGGGGGTTTTTTTTTTACATAGAAAATGTACAGAGTGCCACAGTTAAGTTTTAATAATTATTATATATTGAAGTTATGGTCAGGTAGCTGTTTCTCACTCAGTTTTACCATGTCCACCTTAAGGTAAAGAAAACTTCCTGAAGACTTCTGGAAACACAAAGGTGCAAAGACAGCAGGTGAGCATAAACATGTCTTGATCTTTTTGTTAAGGTTAGTTTTATTCAGGTAGCTGCACCAAATAATGCCTTTGTTTTAACAAAGGATCAAATAAATTTAAAGAGACAGGGTCATTTTGGTCAATATTTGCTTTACATTAAAGGCACTTGTTTTATTTTCATCAAGTTTATATGGTTTCAGTATGACATTTTAATTTTACTACAAACCTAAGATGTCATAAAAAGTCAATCAAATAGTGAGGCCTCTGGTCTGTGTGGAAACATATCTTCATGAACACATGTGCTCTGCTACACTGTCTTTCTCAGGTTAAGCTTGATGTGGAAGATGACTGCAAAGAGAAGACAGTGGTTCCTGTTGATGATGCCCTTATGGAAGTTACACAAAGTCTCACAGTGAACATTGTCAGTGATTTAGAACTGCAGTCTCACCAAGACACAGGCCTCTTACCTGCTAATGGAGAAAAGACAGTGAGGTTCAGTATAGATGATGCTGCCATGGAGGTGACACGAAGTCACACTGTGAACATTGCCACCAATCTAAACCTGCAGTCAGATCACAATTCAGACCTTTTACCCCCTATCGGAGAAAAGACGGTGAGGTTCAGTACAGATGATGCTGCCATGGATGTGACACGAAGTCACACTGTAAACATTGCCACCAATCTAAACCTGCAGTCAGATCACAATTCAGACCTTTTACCTCCTCTTGGAGAAAAAACGGTGAGGTTCAGTACAGATGATGCTGCCATGGATGTGACACGAAGTCACACTGTGAACATTGCCACCAATCTAAACCTGCAGTCAGATCACAATTCAGACCTTTTACCCCCTATCGAAGAAAAAACTGTGAGGTTCAGTACAGATGATGCTGCCATGGATGTGACACGAAGCCACACGGTGAACATTGCCACCAATGTAAAGTTGCTGTCAGATCACAGTTTACCTCTCAATGGAGAAAAAACCGTGAGGTTCAGTACAGATGATGCAGCCATGGATGTGACACGAAGTCACACTGTGAACATCGCCACTAATCTAAATCTGCAGCCAGATCACAATTCAGACCTTTTACCTCCTCTTGGAGAAAAAACTGTGAGGTTTAATACAGATGATGCAGCCATGGATATGACACGAAGTCACACTGTAAAGATTGCCACCGATTTTGACAAGAAGTTACATCAAAATGTGGATTTTCCACCTACCTCCGAAGAGAAAACGGGGAGGTTCAATGCAAATGATGGAGCAATGGATATGACGGAGTGCCTCACTGAAAGTATTCCAAGTGTTTCTGCACCATACCTGGTTCTACCATTGCAAAGGGCTCTGCCCATCCAGGAAATCCAGGGTTTTTCTTTTAAAGTAGAGAAATCAAATAGGGAAGCCTGTGGTCTGCGTGGAAACATATCTTCATCAGCATATGATTTATATCAAGAATTTAAAAACTTGTCAAACACAAGTGACCCACGGACTGATATTAAATCACAGGACAATGATATACCATCCCCCCAAAAAGCTACTGACCCAAGGGACATACTGATACAGCTTAAAACACAGAAACCTGCTATGAATACTGAAAGTGAAGCTCCAGGTTTGGTTTCATCTTTCATAAAGAAGCCAGTAAGTACAACCATGATGGACTGTACAGAAATTAATTTGAGCATGGATATGACTGAAGCTCAAACAGGATGCATTTTGGGTCAGACGTGCACAGATGACCCCCTTCAGTGCCTGTCCTCCACACAAGATCCCAATTCAGACCATTTGCGACAAACTGGGATTGCATCACAGAGGAGTGGTGATTTGGGGTTATCCAATCCTGATGACCAGGAAATTATGAATGTGCCAGATTCTCTTAACTCAAACGAAAGGGAGAACACAGAAGAACCTGAACCAAGAACTACAGCTTGTCTGATATCACAGGATATGGAAAGTTCACCCAAGGTTGCTGGAAAGGATGTGGATGCATTGTGCTCACGAAAGTCTAGACGAATCAGTTTAGCTGATATTCAGTCAAAAGTAAGGCGTTTGAGTCACATGATAAGTGCAGCTCCCAGTGCAGTTGTACCTGATAACTGCACCGCACCTTTGCATCATTTGGAACAAGACCTGGAGAAAAACTCAAAAGATAAAACATTACCTGTCACTATGGCAGAACCAGAAGCTGAAATGGAATTGGTAAACACTGAAGACAATGCACAAGCTCAGTGTTTTATAGAAGCAGAGCATCCCAGTGATGCTATTACTACAACTCCTTTCAGCTCAAAGACCAAACAGCTTATGTCAAGAATCTCACTGGGAGGCTTTAAGCCGAAACTGCCCCAAAAATGCAAACCTGATGAGTCAAAGAGAGTGAAATCTTCAGGAGACCATACAAAGACAATCACCGCCAACGTTGCCAAGGAGCTGAACAACTTTGATGATGATGTTAGTGATATTTACGATGAAGAGCTGGGTAGTTATGAAGATATGTCAGAAGCACTGGACACTAGGAGTCCTCAGAAAAGTCCAGAGTTCAACATGGTCGAGCCTTTAGAGAACACTGTGTTTGAAGAAGATGTTATTAGCCCTGTTCATGGACAAAAGAGACTTCTGCCAGAAGATAAAACTAATGTGGAGGATCAAAAGAGAATGAAAGTATCCTGTGTGACTGTTGAAGTGGTAGGTCAGCTTTCTCTGTTTTACGTAATTTACCTTTAATATGGTTTCTTTTATCCCATGTGTTTTGTTTCTTGTGCATTGCAGTCAGAGGTCATAGAGTGTGACAGTAATATAACTACAGCTCGTACGACTACACAGACAATAGATTCCTCCAGCAATCACACAGCCAGCATCAAATGTGAAACTGCATCTGAGTCAAGTAAGTTCATATCTTTGACGTTGATGGGCATCATTAAGATCTTGTATTCCTGATTGAAATAATGTTTCCTTTTACACTATTATTATTAAATGTCTTTGTTTTCTTTTGGTTTTGTTTTTTTTAGCTTTTAAACACAGCTTGTTTGAATCTCAGCTTGAAGACAGTGCTGTTGATGTGCAGATGGTAAGAAGTTTTATTTTTAAAAATTGATTTATTTGAAATCTGAAAATGTACACTTGCCTCATATTTCACTGCATTTGATGCCTTGATTACAGAAACTCAAAGATGGCACCATAACGGTCTTGGAGTTTTTTAAACTCTTCGGCATTGACTTTGTCATCCATAATCCTCGGGAGAGTGTCCTTCCTGGCAGAGTAGGTCAATCTTCTGTGTTAAAAATTACTTCCCCATTATATACACAAACAAAAATATTATGTTATAGTGACTTTTGTTGTTGTTTTTTCAGTTTTTGTCAGACACAGAGGCCTCACCAATGGATTTACTGAAAGACCAACATATCAGTCGTCCTAAACAGATGGTTTATGAGACGGATGTCTTTAACCTCAAAGAAAAGGTTGAAGGGTATGTGCACTTCAAGTTTTATGACATATACTGTACACATGATTAAACCTACAGAAATATACTGAAAACATTAAGTAGTTAAATACATTTATTCATCTAAACTTGTGGTTTAGATAAGCGGTCCCCAACCTTTTTTGCGCCATGGACCGGTTTATGTTTGATAATATTTTCACGGACCGGCCTTTAAGGTGTCCTGGATAAATACAACAAAATAAAACCAGTACCGGTACCAAAAAAAGAAAATTTATTCATAACACACGGGGTAAGATCCAGAGAAACTGAGTGTAACCACAAAACAATTTAAAAAATAACGCTAAAAACCCTGAAAACCATAAATTTCACACCCGAGCCCCAACACTCGCAGCCCGGTACTAAACGACTCACGGACTGGTACCGGCCCGAGGGTTGGGGACCACTGGTTTAGATGAATTGTGCTGTATCGCTGTAAACTCACAAAATCACAAGGAAAAACTGGGTGTAGCTTACAAACACAATTATAACTCGTTAAAAATTGTACAATTCTTTTTATGTTTAATCTCAGACGTTACAATTGAAGTTTAAAAACATGTCTGTTTTGTTCTTTCTAGGCTGAAGGTGCGAATGCAGGATCTAAATAAACCTCTTAATGCTGTCAATAGATCTTTGTGGGAGGACATGAGATATGCTTCAGATAAAGAGGTATTAGTCAAAGTAATTTTTTATGTGATATGTTTACATTTATTTGGGCAGGATGAACATTAAGTAATTTACAGTATATATATATTTTTTGATTGCAATGTATTTTATTTAACTTTATTTAGCTATTGGCCTTTGCTGTGCGCTTGTGTATGACATGAATTTGGCATCTGTTCTCACAATTCACCCAATGCGGCGTTTGTTTGAATCAACAGCTGAAATCTTTCGGTGCTAAACTAAAGGAGAGAAATAACTTCTTCAGAAAAACAAGCAAAGTTCAGTCACATGAAATGAAGGAGGTTCTGTACTCAAATCTTTTGCAGGCGAATCTGGTAAGAACTTCCACACATTTAGAAAAAAAATACTGAAATTCAAAATTGGGGACTTCTTTGAATGCAAAATGAAATTGACATTGTTTTGTTTTGGGGTTTGTTTTTTGTTTTTGTTTTGTTTCCAGGAGGAGCAGCAGAAGTTAAGAGGAAGAATTCAGGAAGCAGATGAGATGATAAAAATTCTGGATGACTGTATTTGTGAATTAGAAACGGGTATAGCTACTTTGAAAACATGACTTTCCTGTTTGTGATATACCACAGAGTTTGCTCGTTTTGTAGATATTAACTAATGTTTCAGTCACTAACATATGTATTTCTCTATCGTTTGGCTGTTGCTAGATGAAATCGATCGCAAAGATGGTGCTGCACCGCAAATCTCTATGTGATTGCTTTTGTTGCAGCACATTTCCAAAGTTGTCAGTAGTTTTGATGGAAGATGATGACCTGTTAGCAAACCTTTCTCTGGGGGCACAAAGAGGTTGGATGTGTTGCTCTAGCCTAACCTATTCTCCTTCATTTAGAATTTGCTGCAGTTGAAGAAAAGGGGTTTGAAGACAAACCAAGTCTGAAGTCGATGCAGGAAGGTAACTTAATACTGTTTGATCTATTTGTTTTTTATTTTACGTCAGTTTAATTGAATAAGTCCTAAGTGCCTTTACTGGTTCGTTTTGTTTAACAGAAATGAAGAGAGTCACTGAGACGACGGCTGATAATGAGATGTGGGTTAAAATTAACTATCTTTTTTTTTTTTTTTTCTTCGTTGAATTATGCAGTGAATGTTGAGAATTACCAGTTTTGAGTGGTCTCGATTATTTCTTCTTTGTTTTCTTCGTTCCTGCTAAAGACAAATATCTGAACTAGAGATGCAGAAGAAGCAGAATTCAAGTAAAGTCAAAAGGCTTCGAGCTGAAACGAGGAACCTGGAGGTTCATATGGGCCTTCTGAATATGTCAGTACCAAGAACATTTTTTACAGCTTAAGACCAGTTCTGTAAACAAATATGATAAAGTAAAACTGGTTTTGTACATTGTTTACATCAGGATGAATGAATGGAAGCTCAGAGAAATGAGGGACAACTGCAGAGTCTTCACTTTCCTCCACGAGACCATGCATCTGCAGCTGGTGTTTGAAAAGACCAATGGTATTTCTTTTTTTTTCACGTTTTCTCATACAGTTTCTAACAGTTGGGAATATCTTGCATCATGGTTGTACCTCAGTCAGTAGTGTTCGCGCAAACCTTGAACAATACTAAAATTTAGATTTTGCTTAATTCTGTTGGTTTGGTTTTTTTTAAGACGCACTCTAATAACTTTGTTTTTCTGCTTTTGAAGGTAATGATGCCGACACTGAGCAGAAAATAACACACATCACTTTTAAACTGGAACTCGATGGTAAGAAAATAAGTAAAAGAAGCATTCTGTGATGGAGGGTTATTAGATCTTTTCATCCTACCTGCCATGCTAAATTAATAGCCTTTAGCTACCTTTAATTGCACTTACTGTGATGAATATGTACTGAAAGCAATTGTGTTTTCTACCAGATGAGAAGTCGCAGTGCCATGCATGCCTTGTTCACAAATTGGTCTCCGAGTACATTGAAGGTGAAAGTTGCTGGGTAAAGAAATACCCAACAAGAAGACAAGTACCAAAGGTAAGTGTAAATAAACACTTAAATGAGTGAACCCACTCCAGATACATACAAAGGACAGAAACAGGCTCATGTAAAATGGGCCAGATACTTAACCCCGAGTTGCTCCCAGTGTGTTCATTAGAGTCTGAATGCGTGTGATAGAAAAGTGCCTGTGTTTAATTAGATCAGGCCTGTGGGCTGTTTCTCGCATACTTTTGTTGCATCCACAGTGATCGCTCCCTGGTGGCCATTAAAACAAATGCTAGTTTAAATTAGTCTGTTTTAGCTTAAATGATGAGATCCAGAAGATATGTCTATCGTTTATACAGTCTGTGCCTTCAGCTAAAGTATTTTGCCTGCTGTGTTCTCAGCTGCTCCATGATGTCAGCCTGGTGGTGAGTCGCTGTCGTCTTCTGGGAGAGGAACTGCGTCTCCTGAAACTGTGGGGAGGGCTACGGCTGGATATACTCGACATCAGCTGCATGGACACCAAGTAAGAACTACTGTGCTTCACAGAAATGACAAATATTCCACTTTTTGATCCAAAAAATCATTCACATCTGCATGCAGTTTTGCATTTTGCAATGCTGTGGTGTATAACATTCAATTATTCTTCCAGAGTGCGCATTGTCTTCAGCACTCTGAAGAAATTTTCCAAATTTGAGGTCGTCTTTGCCATCTCACTCATCAACCACTTCTGTGTCCTGCATGTAGAGAGCTTTAAAAACATCATTGGAAGCACAACGTAAGTAAAATTTAAATATAAATCAAGAAATTTAGATTTTAAAAAAACCTATTGTTTATTTAATGAATACTGACAGAAATTACGTTGTTTTATGGAGAATATTACTATTGAAGGTAACAGTGTTAAAGGAATAATATATTATCTTCAAGTATAAAGTTAAATTTTTACATTTTTGTGTATTTCTAGGATTCAACAGATTGAAGACATTGTGGCTTCGTTCACTCCCGCCAAGAACCTGCTGACAAAGACTGTCAGAAAGATTCATGAAGTGTTATTATGTTGAGAATTAAACTCTGTTGTACAGTATAGAGGGGAAAAACTAAAAACTTAAATTCTTTTACAAATCAAAGAATAAGTATAATGTACAGAGTCTTAGTCTGTTTCTTCTGGTCAAAGATGTGCTGTTTTGCTTTTTGCTGTACACACAAACAGTTCTCACTGTACAAAGCTGTTCTGTTTCTGCAGACTTTAATGTTCCAATATGGGCAAAAAAAAAAATAAAAAGATGAATTGGCTCAAATGAAAGCTATGTTGGGAATTAAAAAGATTTGCAAACATTGAAATCCCAACTCTTTCAAAAAAACAAAACAACAACAACCCAGCATTACAGACTGCACGATTATGGCCACTGTAGTTTAAAGCATAAAACCCCATTATTGGTGTGGTGCAGTTTCCAGAGTTGCCTCTAGATGGTGGACATTACCCATCACCTGTTGGAAGTTTTTGCTGAACCTCCCACATGTAAATATCAGTATCGCTTCATTTTGTTTATACTGAAATGATTATAAGCACATAATCTTTTTCCAGGCTTTTTTTTATTAGACAGCAGTAACTGTAAAAAATAAACATGCTATGCATTATAATGGCTGTGTGAGCATTTTGTGCACATTTTCACCCAATTTTCTTTGTTTGAAAATGGATCACAGTAAAGAATAAAACAGGGTGTCGGTTAAATTGGCTGAAACATGTGACATGTGCTATGATCAATAATACAAATCGAAATGTGAAATTAGATTGCAGGTGAGTAGACACCACTGAGAATAATCCATCTTCATTAAGCTTAATTTAAAATTTCCATGACCTCAAATGATTCAATAAGTCTTTGAAATGGTCAGTATTTCTAATTCTTAAACATATTTCTCAAGTATTGTGAAGGACATAGGGTGTAAAAACTGACTTTTGCAAAACAGCTGAACTGCAAGCTTAAATGTGCTAAAGAAAGCTCTACAAATAAGGCATCAAAATGCATCTTCCTCTGCAACTGCTGTACTTCGGTTAGACTTCGGAGGTCACTATGGGTCTGTGAAATATATGGTGCTCTGCTAGCTGTTGTTTTGTTCAGTAAAAAAAATCAAGATATTTAGAAAGTTTTGTCCCACATTTCAAATGATAGTGTTTGTCCTGAAATAAAAGAAACCTTTAAGATGTTATATGTAGTTTGTAGGTAGATAGAGTATGCAGGTTATGGACCTATATTATATACTGTGTCCCTATACTTTAAGGCATGTTTGAAGAAAAAAAAAAATCCTACTATACTCTATCATACCAAAAATTGACTACTTTTTTTTTTCTTTTCAATTAAGCATCCAGTTTAGGCTAAAGGCTGCTAAAAAGTGGAACAGAGCCAGGATCTTGCCTGATCCTGGCTCTGTTCTCAGCCAAGACATGACTGACATGGACAGTGTCCGGAGTTCATCTGAAAGGTCAAACAGCCAGAGACGAGCCTCTAAGAAGACGGATGGGGGTGGGCAATGACAGTCTACTCCCCGAGCCCCGACATCAAGGGTCAAAGTGGATGTTTCCAAACCGTCACCCTCGAGTGAGCCACAAGGGGAGATGAGGTCCTCCCTTCCTCCCCCAGGAACAACGACTGCTGTCAAACTAAATAGAGGACAGCAACATTTGGGTCTCCTGACCTCCTGAGGGTCAACTCAATTTGATTTTAATCGATCAACCGAAGGATTTTTCATTATGTGTGAGCAATTCATTCGGTCATTAGATTATCATACAACACTGAGAACAGGAGCAAAGTTTTTCCTCAAGGTCACTCTTGTTATATTACATGATTGAATTTCACTTGGTTTTCTTTTTGTTTTGCAAATACCTGAGAAGAAATGTGGCTCAGTCAGTCAGTCAGATTTCCTTTCTAACGTATTTACCAGTTTATTGCAGTTATGTGACCTTCTTATTAGCTGCGCAACTAAGTTGTTAAAAACAGATTTCAGACTTAATGTATTATTTGATTATATGATTATGTAATTTGCTTTAAATCCTGTGACAAACTGGCAAGCTGTCCACGATGTACCCTACCGCTCACCCTGTGCCAGTCAGGATATGCCCCCAATGTGACTGACAACTGATCAAGAAAATGGATGGACTGATCGATGTTTTAAATCTTATTAGTATGGCCTTTCTTCACTGTCCATAATTATGTGTTAGATATTCCTAAAAAGTGCCTAATAATCCACTTTGCACAATTATTTACATGGGTATTCATCACTGTAATTTCAGTGTTTTTAGTGGTGAAAAGCAACTGAACATTTATTAAACCACCTGAAAGGTAAATAATTCAGATCAGTGGGCTTTCCTTTGTACTTAAACACATTAAAAGACTAGAGTCAACAGATCAACCAGCAGCATACAATGATATGATGCTGCTGCTGTAATGCTCACCAGTTACCAAGCCAACAACTTTGCAACTAAATACTAACCTGATGTTTGTTTAAAGCGTAAGGCATAACCAATGTAATTCACAAACCTGTGTGCTCCTCGAGAAGAAGAAACCAAAATCAATTGGATTCAATCTCTCAATACTATGAAAGTCTTAGAGCTACAGTGGTTTTTAAAGCAAGAAGTCAGTCACAAAGTGCTTTACAGAGCTTTTTTTTTTTTAAGGGTCAATATGAACACGTAAGAATGAGTACAATAACACAAAAACATTATCCAAATGTCTGAATAGATGAGTTTTAAGCTAGTTTTTCAAAAATACCACAAAGTTCCAAGAAGAGCTTTACAGTGTTTCACAATTTTGGCGCTAAGGTTTGGAATCCACAGTCCCACTTAGTTTTTAGACAGATACATAGAATAACAAAAAGGTCTACGTACTAAGGATCCAGCTTGAAGAAAAGTGGTGGGGTAGATCAAGAATATAAATGAGAGCCATAAAAGTAAAAAACACAATTTTAAATTGATACCTAAAGCTGACCGGAAGCCATTGCAGACACTTTAAAACTGATGTGATACGAGAGAAATTATGAGAGTAAGTTAAAAGCCTCAGAGTGATGTTTTGGACAGATTGGAGGTGATTAATTAGTAATTACCACATGAAGGTGAGAACTAGAAGGGCATTTAGACACTTAGCAAATCCTCCACCAAGGATGATGCTGCTTTTTAAGTGATGCCCCTTCTTAGAGTTTTCTAGAACGCAATCGCGATCTTTACCAAAATTTAATGGGTTAGTTTTTTTGCTGAAACACAGGCATAAAAAAAACACTTCGCACAAACCTTTACTAATTTATAAAGAATTCATTAGAAAATAAGATTGTGCTTGATTGGAGATGGGCCAAGCGAACCTAAGCAAACGTGTTTCATATCTTTGTATGAGATATAGATGAGATTAAACACTTTTTCTTTCTGGGAGACAAATATAAAGTCACATTGTGATTTTGGATGAAATCAGGTGGTAGCGTGTTGTCACTGCACCAAAGGCCTAATTCTCTAAAGTGGAACATTTGGCCTCATGTGGCCTCATTCAAATCTATTTATCCTCTGATCTAGGAGCAGTATTTCACCTTAGTAACCCTATCAGTGTCCTCCACTGACATCAGAAAGACGGAAGGTTTGAGGTAATACAATTGGTTTTGGATGATGGAAAAGTTCATTGAGCGTTTATTTGTATTTAGATCTAAATGCAGCCATCTGCCAGACACACTGGAGAACTAGTCCAGAAGTAAAACATGCATGAAAATGAAGAACATAAGCACTTTATTTAGGTCTGTTTTCCAAATTTCCGTAACAAGAATAGGATTGTGTGTAACTTTTGTATATCCAGTTGACCGGAATGAACAAAAGGGTTAAAAATGTTTTTGCAACAGGGGATATGTGCAGGGCTTTCTGCTGCGATAGTGCTTCTCATTTAAACTCTGAGTTTGTGTTGATGGTAGGGAGCCGTGTCACTACACAGTTTACTACTGAGCATTGTTGTTATCACCATCAGCCTCTCCCCACTTCCCACTCACAGCCTTCCTGCACTACTGCAAAGCTGAGGTTGGGGGCATTATTGTTAGGGGGCATTAGAGGGCGTTCTAATTGATCCTTCCAGGCAGGTAATTAGCTCTGATGGCATGTGCACCCATGGTGATGAGAATGACAGAGACATAGCCACGTCCTGCCCCTCACCCCAATCATCAACACTCAAATAAAGACTATGTGACCCATGGAGTTGCCACATTCTCTGGTCATTCTTAGGAAAAGACAATAGGTCTGGCTTGTTAAAATAGGCTCCCTCTCAGCGGGGGAACACAGGAGCCACAGCAGCTGTCCCATAGTATAAAGCTTCAATAGTCTGAGCAACCACAGAACCTCCAGTACAAAGATTTGCTTTTTTTTATACTTCTGTGAGGACATACAACATCTCATTAGGAATGAAATATTAAAAGTATTAACATAAACCTTCCCTAGATCTCCACTGCTATGTGAGAATGTTAGAAAGGTTATTGTTCATAAAAATGTGATAATTAAAAGTCTGTTTTTATTTAACAGTAATTTTACAATAGGGGTAAAATGTACCAAAAAAGGGGATATTTATAATCCAGGATGTGGCATGTGATAGGACCAGAGGGAGTCATCCAATGTTAGACCACAGCCTTTATATCATATAGACTGTATATAAAAGATGAAAGAATTATGACATCACCCACTAGCTAGACAAGTCCTGTCTTGGAGCCACAAGCTGAGCATTGTGTTGTTTTGTCAGAATCTTGAGGTTTTGAATGGCCATAATGAGTAGAGGTGGGCGTGACTAAGACACTGAGGGACACGAGATACTCATATTGTTACGATTGGTTAATCTGAGAGTGGCTCCACTCTAAAGCATCTCCTGTTTTATTTCTCCTATTTGACTCTAACTGGAGTCAGAATTTGTAGAAGATACGTTGTTTTCTCTCTAAAAAAAAAGACTTAAAACTGAGACAAACAACTCAGCAAATGTTTACTGAGGTCATAGCCCAAAGAAGGAAAAGGATCCTTTTTCCAATGGCTTCTAATGAACAAGCACTTCTTTTTGCTACCACAGCTGTCGCCCCCTGCTGGTCCCTGGAAAAAATGCAGCGTTAAGGCACTTCTGCATTGACTTGCAAAGAATGTAACATTCAACAGAAAGAGGCAAAAACTTTAGTCACGAAAAGTTGAAATTTTATGTCAGAAAAAAACATTTGTAATAAGGTGATAATAAAACATTGAGAATTTATGTGTAATGTGCAGAAAAATTAAATAAAACACTAAAATATGCTGTATGTTAAGATACACAAGTTCATGTGATTAAAGTAATTATTTTGTGCTGGGGTCGGCCTTGGGAGACTCCAAGGATATATGAATGGAAAGGAATCCTAACTCATCTATCAGATAACTTCCAGCTGAGTTCAACTAAATCTATATGTTTCATCCAACTGCCATTTCAGGTCTGTTTGTATTCATGGAAGAAAAACAAGTATCAGGAGCCCCAACAACTGAGAGCATTGTTGCGCATGAGATGCTTATTCTCTGGTAGAACGATGACATAGGAGGAATCTTGATCTTGTACAGGGAAACACATCCTGGGGCACACGGGCAACAAAGCAACACGACAATGAGAGCTTCTTCTAAA